CCTTCAGTCGATAAAATCGATAAAGTATCTCCACTACAGTTACAATGTCCTTTACTCAAAATACATCCCCATTCGAATCTCTAAACTTAAGGTAAAGAATAAAGGCAATTGTGTGACATGAGTTTTACAAGCAAGAGTGCTCACTGGTGTGGGCCTTTGTGGACCAAGAACGTGTTCAACGCAAATGAAGAGAAACGGGCATGTCAACACACTTCCAGTATAGGAATTCGGACCGTGATCTTATATTTGAAAGCTGTTTTTGCTGATTTGTACCAATAGCGCGCGAACTATTTCGTTGATCGAAAAGCAATCAATCAAAATCCACATCATACTGTAAGCAGTTGAAGGAATGCGAGTTTCTACCGTTCTATAGTGATTATGGTTGGAAAAAGATACATTATCGAGTTTTGTGTAAAAACGCAGACAAAGCGAGCTTGGTACTCAGCAGTTGGCTCTGCAACAAACTCGAACAAATTGAGCAAAACCGAATTTTCTTGCAATTACTTTCTCGGCCAGTATTGAAACGGTATGATTCATCCTTCTGGCATAGCTACTATATGTTGTAGGGTTGATCCACTCATTGCACTGTGAGTCATAATTTTTTTAAACTTTTTTGAACCGAGAATTTGTTTCCTTGCACTGTATAGTTGCTGAAGGCATTCTATGACCCAAGAAACATTTCGAAAAAATACAATAGCCAAAGCTTCGTTCATTTGTGTAGTGGGAGCAGGATATGTTGTTAACACTTTTTGCAAGAAAAAGCTTGGCTATCTAACTTGAAGAAATGAATTTTTTCGTAATTGGAGATTTCAGGCCTCTTAGGCTAGATTTATGCTGATTCCCATGTTCTGGAACTGTTCCCGCACAGTTCTCGCACTGTACTGAAACTGCTGCTGTGTTGCATGCGCTGCAGCCGCATCGCACGCGTTTTGAACGAAGGTGGGAGAATTTTGATCAATTTTAAAGGCTTTCCTTTCAGATTTCTCTCATTTTGGCCTTATTCCTCTACCTCGCTTCCCTTTTTGATCGATAGAACTTCGGACTCGAAGCGAGGTTGAAGAATAAGCGCTTTTCTGTTCTGCGTGTGCGACAATACCTGTGTTCTTGTGCTTGTCCATTTTCTCTTCGCTTTATTTTTACTCACAAGGGAACGATACTCAATGTCCGTGGCCTTTTGAGACGAGATGTATACCATTACACTCGTCTTCGAACGCTGATTCCGAATCTGACTTCCGTTTCTGCTAATCGTTTCTCTGAAGGAAGTTATGGAGGAATTTCGAGCCAACTTTATCCGCCCAAGGGTATGGTCACCAGAACGGCCTCTACCGGCGCCATGTTATTGTCTAGTGGTTAGTGTGATAGCCTCATAACTTGGTACAGCTGTAGGTTCAAATCCTTTTGTGTTTTTCTTTTGCACTACCTCAATTAAAATTGTTCGAGATTCACTCGAATTACGGTCGTTGGATACATTTTAACGCAAATAGTAAATTTTTTCCAAATTTCCAGATCTTTTGAAGAGTAAGGGCGTCCAGTTAGCTCGAAGATGCGAAAGAAGGTTTATTGAGGCAATGCAAAACTGAAAGACACAAAAGGGTTCGAACCTACAACTGCATCAACTCATGAGCCTATCGCGCTAACCACTAGACCACACCGCACCGGCACTGTTGCCGCTTCGAACATATTTCAGTGAAAAGCCGAAGCCCGCACAATCCTTTACAATATCTTTGAAGCGATTAGCAGAAACGGAAGTCAGATTTGGAGTCAGCGTTCCAAGACGAGTGTAATGGTATACAACTCATCTCAAAAAGCCACGGACACCGAGTATCGTTTCCTTGTCAGACCTATTCCATTCGTTCCAGGAAGCCGCTGCGTAGCTTCCATAGCTATCTGCCATGAATTAGAGAGTGCGAGCAACACTGAATTGCATAATTTGGGACTTTTCTCTTGTTTTCTGATGAAGTTACTTTTTAGACATTTTCAGCCCCCTTCCTTTTTCCATATCGTTGCTTCTCCGCTCTTTCTCCTACCCGCTTCTCTCAGATAATCGCCGGAGGCAGGCCGTAAACTCGCGCTTTTTGCAAGCGGGCAGCAAAAAAACTTTCTGCGAGAGCTCGTCAAATAATCTCTTCTAGCAAAAGCGGATCAAACTTTCAACAGGCGCTCGAACTCTTTCTATGCAGTTCGCCGAGCGAAAGTAGCACTACCTTAACAAAGGTGTCATTGAGGTTTAATTACATTAGTTTTTCGGGGGTACTCTCTGAAAGTACCTCCGTGTTGTGCAGTCCCTCACAAAGGACCGTGCGGCCCTCAATAATTTTGCACACGGCGGAAAGTCCGCGAGAATGCGGCCACAGCGCCGCAATGAGCGTTCGTCCCAAATTTCGCCAACACTCTTCAAATATCTGCAAATGAACCGCCAGAAATCAATGACTATTTTTATGGTGCCGCCTGCCCATAAATCGCATAGCAGCCTGCCCCCGGCGATTACCTAAGCTCTCTTCGTTGCTTTTGTTCAAACCTACTTCATGTGATCTAAGGATGCGCTGCGTAGTCTCGCATCTGCATTGAAAGGGACATAGACAGGTCTCTAGAACATATGATTAGGCCTGAACAAAAAATGGAAGAGAAAATAGACGAGCGCATGAAGACCCTGCCATGATACATACAGGGTGTCCCAAAAAAATGTGAACACTGTTTGATTGTTATTAACTTCCTTGCTTTTATGTCTTTCGCCGAGCATTAGGCACCATTCTTTAGAGCGAGGTTTAACTTAGATCTGCAGTATGGCGCGAATCGTCGATCGCTCATCATTACTGTAGGATTACGGTAGGAACTTCGACAAGGATTTTAGGTTATTGGAGGCCATATTCAGCCTCGGAACAAAACCAAACGAGCCAAAAACTCTTATACTATGGTAATGGCAGCCGCTGATTTCGAATATGAAGTTTCCACTTTACTGCGATGCTTCTTTCCAAGGTTATCCCATGTAAACCGTATTAACCGAATTTCCAGCATTTGTCAGAAATGTGATTGCACCGTAAAAAAAGCTAAAAACACTTGTAAAAAGTTATGCAGCAGGATCAGCGTGCCCGAAAACCCTAGTATATACGATTCTACAGATTTTTTGGAAAAATTTTTGTCAAATGGCATATTTTATAATGGATCCACATGCTGAAAGTTCATACCGTAATCCTACAGTAACGAAGACGATCGATGATTCGCTCCATGCTATAAATCTAAGATGAATCTCGCTCTACAGAATGGTGGCTTAAGCTCGGCAAAAGACTTGAAAGCAACGGAGTTATTAACGATCAAACAGTGTTCACATTTTTTTGGGACACACTGTATACAGTTTCCTCACTCCACTAGTTGGTCGGTGGTGAATTCGAATTCGAACTGGAGCAGGCCTTCCGCGAGAGCGCGCAGACGTCGCCCCTTAGCCAACCGCTTGCACTGAGGCGCGGCCTGCTGCGCTCTGCCGCGGCCGGCCTGCTCCAGCTCGAATTCGAATTCGACCACCGACCGACTAGTGGTTTAGGACGACTATAACAAGGTTATTTCTTCAACCCCGTTTCAAGTTCACAGCTTTCTTCATCACGAGGAGCGGGAGTAGAATAGAGGACGGAGAAGCAACATTATGGAAAAAAGAAAGGAGCTGAGGATGCCCAAAAACGATACTCATCAGAAAACAAGAGAAAAATCCCGATTTATGCAATTTTAAAATTGCTCGGCAATTTCAGAATTGCTCGCACTCCCTAATTCATAGCATATGGCTATGAAAACTTCGCAGCGGCTTCCTGGAACAAATGGAATAGGTCTGAGTAAAAATAAAGCGAAGATAAACTGGAAGAGCACAAGAACACACGTATTGACGCATACACAGCAGAAAAGCGTCCATTCTTCAACTCCTCTTCAAGTTCGAAGTTCTGCTGATCAAAAAGGGAAGCGGATTAGGGGAATAAGGTCAAAATGAGAGAAATCTAGAAGGAAAACCGTGATAAACGGTCAAAATTCTCCAACTCCCGCCGTTCAAAACGCGTGCGGGGCGGCGGCTGCAGCGCATGCAGTACAGTTTCGGAACAGTTCCAGCACAGCGTGGAAACTGTGCGGGAACTGTGCGAGGTCTGTGTGAGAACAGTTTGGAACATGGGAATCAGTGTGAGCCCAGCCTTATAAACGAGTTCAAAAAAACTTTTTTATGAATTTGTATCTATCTTCCAGCTACAAAAGAAGCTAATTAACATGTTTCGGACCGCGAAATCGCCGACAAAAAAGAGTGTACTTTTGACCGTTAGCCTACAAAGGGACCTCATTTCGCAGCCTGTGGGCCACATCTTGTATCTGTAATCAGCATTTCGGATAAGTTAAATACCCAAAGTTCTGAATGGATTCGAAGTGTTGGGATTTTATCGCTTGAGAGGGAGTTTTGTGCTTTCTTGAAAAGTAGGAGTAAGAACTCAGTTCCAAATGGTATTCAAAAGAACCTACGTTGTACACGGTACACATCATTATTGAAATTACGGTTTTTCTCTTTGTAATCGAAGCAAAGGGGAGTTGCGACGTCGCACGCGTCGTTCGCGTTGCCTCACTTCGTTGCAACTGTTGTTCGATTTGTCCTCATACCTCCTAAACAAATTATGCGCGGCACAGTTCTACAGAGTCATTTGAAAAGTAGGAGACATTTGATTTAACAACTTTGGACTAAAAGGAAACCTCCTGTAATAGCCAGAAAGATCCTTCAAAGCAGCGTGCTGCACCATGTGCAGCACCGGTCCGAAACGTGTTAAGGCGTTAAGCTTACAACGATGCATTTATTAAACTTCCCTATGAGAAGTGTGGTGGTCAAGTCATGAGAATATTCTTGGTAGTGATTGAAAACGAGCAGTCACTAAACATGCTGAAAACGTTATCTATCTTTGTTGACTATAAACAAGTTCGTTGTTGTTTTACATTTAAATCTCCTTGACTACAATTCATGGTGGTAAGCTCATTATGCATTACAACTTTGGTCGAGATGCGTGAACGGTTTGGCATCCTACTTCTTTGCTTCAAATGTATTGTACTCTATGCAGACGGAGAAACCGAGCGGAAGGTAATGTTCACGTATTTCAAGCACTCTGTAAAAGATTCATCACTAGCTATGCGATCTTCAATACAATGATTCTTTGATAGTGGCACACATCTCGTGGGCAAGTGAAGATCGACGCTGTTTGCCACAGTTCTTGAAAGTTGAATATCTTGCTAAAAGTTCTTACATGATAATCCCTGTGAGTAGCACACTCTAAAATACCTTTAGAGAATGGAAATGACAATTTAAAGGAGACGACATGCATGCAAGGACCGTACAATAACTCCGACACTGTTGTTTGCATTCGAGGACCAGCAGTTGGTGATTGGCTGCAGGTTAGTGGCAAAATATCACATACATCATAGAAAAAATTGCACACCTACAGTTTCAAATGATATGGAAAATAACAATCTTTACGAGGCATTTTTCCTTGTTCTATGAAAATTTGCAGCTTGCAGAAACAGATGGCAAATAACGCACAGAGTTATTTTGCTTGAAAATGGGTATTATTAGACCGTCCCATGTCTCTTCCTTCAAATTCATGCCTCGAAATTGGTATTTTCTAAGAAGAGACGTTTCGAGGGCACAACTGGCAGCAGTGTTTTGAGTGATTAAGCTTATAACGACATATACGGGAGAAACGCAGAACCAGAGCCGAAGTTTGCCAATTTGTGCGTATAGCCGAAGTTTGCCAGTTTGTGCGAATCATTTTTTCTCGATTTCTAGCCATAAAAAGGTACAGCAAGTATACGCATGAAATCCTGGTGTGCAAAGTATGAGCGTGAGTGAGGGGGAGATTTGCCGATATCCCTTGGATAAACCACTTTTTGAGGGCTTTTTCCGCATTTTGGACTTTTAATATTTTGGTCTGAACCCTCATGCAAATCAAACTTTCTGAATATAAACCATCTTGTGGAACTTGCTCTGCTCTATCTAAATGCACCTCAAAACTACTGCTATTGAGAACATGAGAAAATTGGGCCTACACGGTAAAGAACCAAATCTGAAAAATTATGCGAAATGGTAGCAGGGCCCAGCTCGAGGGTGGCAAATGGACATCTGTGAAAAGATTTCACCTTCAGCCACTGTAGAGTTTTACGACTTCCCCCTTGATCCCACCAGCTGCGTAGGCTATTCAGTCAGAGCACGCATTTTTCGTAAAAGAACAGGCATCGTTGCTACTCCGGATCCTAAGAAGGAGGAGAGGAGGAGTTTTGGAACCAAAATGTTACCACATAATAAACCTTAGGCGTAGAACAGATTAATGTAAAAATTTTGAGAAACTTATATGGAATGGAAGTTTTGTCTACCTCAAGTGGGCATCAGGCGGGCAATAGCCCACCTACTCAGATAATCGCCGGGGGCAGGCGGCCATGCAATTTATGGGCAGGCGGGGACCGGAAAAATAGTTCGCTGATTTCTTGCGGTCCGCTTGCAGATATTTGGAAGAATGTTGGCGACATTTTTGAGCAAATGCTCGGAGAACAATCGCGGCGTTTTATGGATTAGTCGCGGCGCAGTGGCCGCATTCTCGTACTTTCCGCGAAAATATGCAAAATGGTTGAATCGCTGAAGGTTTGGCCACGCCCCAAAATTCTGCTGACCGCTACAAAAAACAATGAGTTTGCGGTCCGCCTGCCTCCGGCGAATGTCTGACACTCAGATAATTGCCGGGGCAGGCGGTCCTCAAACTCGAGCTTTTCTGCAAGCGGTCAGCAGAATTTTGGGGCATGGGCAAACCTTCGGCGAGCGATATTTCCTTTATTGTCTAATGTTCTGCCAGCGGTCAGCAACACAGAATTTCCTGCAGGCGCTTGTCAAATAATCTCTTTCAACAAGCGCTGGTCGAATTTTCAGCAGGCGCTCGGACTCTTCTAACGCAGCTTCGGGCATACGAGTACAGGTCTCTGTGTGGCAGGGGTGTCACCGTTGTTTAATTACTCAAGTTTGAAGTACTTTCTCCCAGCGGAAAGTACCTGAGGCTGCGCGGTCCTCCACAAAGGACCGTGCGGCTCTCGAAAATTTTGCCAATTCTCGCGGAAAGTCCGCGAGAATGCGGCCACTGCGCTGCAGCTAATCTATAAAGAAACCGCGATTGTTTTCCAAGCATTCGTCTAAAATTTCGCTAAAATTCTTCCAAATATCTGCAAGCGGACCGCAAGAAATCAGCGAACTATTTTTCCGGTGCCCGCCCGCTCATAAATCGCATGGCCGCCTGCCCCCGGCGATTATCTGAGCACGTGAGGTAGCCTAATTTGAAAAAAAATAAGCACGCTCTTCATTTACATAAGTTTTTCATAATTTCATACTTTGTTCGTTTTTGCATGGCAGTCGTGTAGCAACTTGTCGAGAAAGTGTATGTATTCGTCTATTTTTACGATACTTCCTTTGTTTTCATACAAAACGATTTCCAGCTTGGCATTTGTCCACCTCCTGCCGAGCCCTGCTTGGTAGTAAGCAATCTTCCCTAAGTTAATCTTGATTTGATAGTTATATAAAATCTTTTCTCATCAAATCTAGCAGTTTAGGAAGCTGTCAAGAAGAGTCTTCGCACGTCCTTACCCCAATCTCAGCTTCTTCAATGCTTTGCGGACGCATGCTTTCTCAAAAATCAATTTAGCCATGAAGAATTTCACCAGTCCTCTACGCATAATTTCTTTACGTCCACCACAAATCGCACAGCATCTGCAATGACTTATGATGAGGCTGTATTGGATTATTTCGAGCGACTTTATAATGAAGCCCTGCACTCAAGTGAAGAATATGGTGAGAATATGATTCAAGTTGCTAACAAGGGAAAGTCGCGATTAAAGATGAGACGTACTTTGTTTGACGCAACTTTGAACGCTGGTTTCAAATCTATTTTCTTTTCTTGCGGAACAACTCTCCGAAAGAAGTTGTGAGCGTTTGGATTTGCAAATTGTCAAGTTACTAGTGGCTTACATCTAGCGAAAAGCTCTAAAACATTATCTATGCGATTTCCATCGACTTTGTTCCTTCCTTCCAAACAATACACACGATACCAAGCTGATTTCCCATTTTCCGGTGTTTTTGTACAACTTTTCGCCAATTTTAGGCCACTTAAACCTTGACAAATTTGGACTTTAACGCTCACAACTTCTTTCGGAAACTTACTCCGCAGAAAAGAAAAGCAGTCGAAGTCAGCGTACAAAGGCGCGTCTAATGATATACATCTCGTCTCCAGTCGCCAATAATGTTGGTATTCATCCTTTGAAAGATTCGAGAAAACTTTTTTTTTGCAGATGATGGCGTTCATCTGTGGGCAATCATTTTAACTTCTGTCCTCTTCGCGTTTTTTGCCATCGTCGCAGCTTACGAAAGCCTTGCGTTGATGTTTTGTAAGGGGAACGCAGCAGATTCAATTTAAAATTGGTCAGAATCGTAACAACCAAACACAAGTAGCATAAAGATAAACATGAAAATTATCATGTAATTTGCATTACTATTTGCTGCAGTTCTTGACCACCAGCATGTTGATATTGTACCGTTCGTATTCACTGTATAAATTTTCAAATGCTTTTTGCGTACATCGTAAGACTGCAATAAGGTAGTGTTCCCATACTTACAACCTTTTTCAACCCGGAGTAGGCGAAACATTTGAAGTAAAGCAGCGCGTCCCCACCGCTGCTGCTCAGCGAGGGGAAGAGACGCAGACTACAAAGCCACGCGAATCAGTGGGAAGCGGACTCCCGCCAGTCCAATTTCCGCTCAAACTAAGTTGGAGCTTACTATACATGGACTACTGATGAAGATCTTTTGACCTCTGCATTCGAGCCTTCAAACACAGAAATGATGAAATAAGTTTGCCTTTAGTGTTACAAACCTTGCATATAAAGAAGATCTTGCATCGCATGCGGGTCTAGGTGCTCACTGTTTGCTCCAGTATGACTCGCAAGTAGGATAAATTCCCCCCCCCCCTTTTTCAAACTTCAATAAACTAGACAACGTGCACCGAGATCTTCACACACCTAAACATTATGTGCACTACTAACGCATATGACGAGACATTCTGCTTCTGTTTAAATACCGGCCATTGGCAGTGTTGCCAGTACGGTTCTGCTCGGGACTCGCGTTTGTTGCAAACCAGGCTAAAGTATAAGGATCAAAAAGTCTCGGAACAGTATTACTGGTCTTGCTGTGCTGCTACCTACCATCTCAATAACTACTTCTCATGCCACCCAGAGCCACCCTTACCTGACACAGCAAGTAATTTAGAACACTCTAAATCCAATTGCTGCTCTAGCTATGAACACCAACGTGGAGCGGTTGGAGACGTAGGGTCGCGAAGCGATATAGCCTATGCACAGGAGATAGTGAGCGCGCATTTCCTTCAGGCGTTCGTGAATTTTAGAAGACATCGTTGGTCAGAGCATAATGTAAACAGAATAAAACTTGGATGTTGAAAGGAAAATTCATAAGCGAATGGGCTTATTTTCTATCCCCTCCTTTAGAAACTCTGCTACTTTTCCTTGAACTAGATCCAGAAAAGTATCAAGGATCACTTTTGCGAAGGAAAGATCCATTCAGATTGCACTTCTGGTCTTGAAAAAGCGTAGAGTTCTAAAGTGACAAGAAATATTTTTCCGGCTTCGTCTCTACCACCCAAATTAGCTGAGAAATCTACAGTTACTCCATAATATTCCGTTTAGAAGTCAAGAAGGCCGGATACTTCAACTGTGCGTCATTTAGATGAATAAATACTCTCAAATATAATGAACCAGCTACCTTCAGAGTATTGCAGCAACACATTATCATAATTTACGTGAGTGTGAGAAAACTCTTCTGGTAGGTTCTTTTCTACCAAACGATCAATTAATTTATTCATTCAATTATTGTGAGACGTGTAAAACAAACACGTGAGTAAGATATGCGATTAAAACATGATTGATGAGAGAACATAATAAAGCACTGAAAAACAACCAAGAACAAGTGATTTTTTAGCGGGAAAAAATACATTTAGAACAGAGTTTCAAAAAACCGGATTAAAGTAACAATAACAAGAGTCTAGGCACAATGCACTATGATTAGGAATGAGGACAAACTGCAAGAGAAAAACATTTTGCTAAGGTTCTATTTAGAGGATCTTGACCGATCACTTTGTTGAAATCCGACAACACTCTGATGGTGAAGAATTTTGGTCACAAAACGTACTTGGCTTTAGGAGCCCTTGTTGAAGAGAGGCCCTCTCGTTTGAAAGGAGTACATGACGAGGAATTTTGAAATGCAAGTCTACATCTATCCGAAAGAGCTTAGGAGACAATGCTGTTATATGAGTTGTAAACTGAAGCTCGTCTGAGAACGTGAAACCCAAATCTTTTACTTCAGATATGTGTTACAAGTGGTAACCATTGAGGGTGTGAAATGACTCTATTTTTCCCAAAGACATAACATGGGTTTTATGTGCTGCTAATGGTAATTCGTTGTTTTTAGACCATTTGACTGCATCAATACACGACTGTAACCCTTCAATAACAAATATGTTAAAGATGACTTTGTAAATGTTCATATCATTTGCGTACATAACACATCTAACGTCTCTGCCCTCAACCACATTGGGGAAATTGAAAGTATAAATAAGAAAGAGGACGAGATAAACCCCACTTTAGGGCACTCCGCTAAAAATAGAATGAATTTTTAATAGTCATGCCCGCCCGAAGTTGAAAGGTACGATTAGTCAAAAAATTTCAATTCATTCATAATCTACGGTCGGTGAGTCAGCGTGTGTGTGTACTGTGATCGATGCTGCCACGCGGGACTTACGCACAGCGAGTGCACCTCAAACTTGGGTAATTAAACTTTTATTACTAAATTACTAAATAACAACTACAAAACGCTACAATAGTACATAAAGTGTATACAATATATGCTATCCGAGCAGCCTATGAGTTACTGTGAGGGGTTCTGTGGGGGAACTGTGATTTACTGTGAGAGATCCGTGAAGTAATGACCAGGGCTCGGCACGAGGTGGCTTACAAGCAAGCTGGATATCGTTTTTGGGACGAAAAGCAAAGGGGGTTTCGTTTTTGTGACCGAAGAGACACGGAAAATTGGCGACGGCGACCTTTTTTTTTAGTCGACGTTTCGTTTTTTGGGAAATTTTGGGGAATTTTTCAGGTTTTTAGAGGAAATTTGGTTGAGGGTCAAAGGGGACTTCGTAAAAATTCCCAAAAGTCAAGGTGGACTTCGTTTTTTCCATTTTCATCTAGCCACCTCGTGCCGAGCCCTGGTAATGACTAAGGTAAGAAAGGCAAGAAATATCATACTGTGAGATACAACGAGAGGAAGGGAAAAATACATTATACAAACGTAAATATGTTCACTACACGATACCAACTACTATATGTAAGCGAATATAAACACACTCAAGACAAGCATGGGAAATCTATTGATAAGAACACCAAAGAACATAAATCTGTGAAATATTCGAGCCTCGGTCAAACGCCATCGCGCATTCCTCGGGACTCAAAGAACGATACGAACGCAAGTTCGTATACATAAGACATCCTAAACACTCATCATCCTAAGTTTGGACAACAGCTTGCTAGTAGGTACCCTGTCAGATGCCTTAGAAGTATCGAGGAATATCCCATTTGCTTGATGACGTTTACCTTCCTTCAAGGTCCAGTCATTAAAGCCGTTAATACTGCAGCTTCAGCAAAACTGCCTTTACAGAATCCATGTTGACAGGAGGAAATGATCGAATATTTTTCAAGATGCTGGATAATGTGTTTCTTCAAAATGTTTCCAAATGTGCGTTTGAATATGGAGGTTATGCTAATGGGTCAATAGTTATTGCAGTCACTCTGTGGTGGTTTTTGAGGATGGGTATAACAAGAGAGTGCCTTCCAACTGTCTGAGACTTTACCACTCATATGTGCTAGATTGAAAAGAACAAGGGCGTAAAGCAGCCTATCCAATCAATGCTCATTAGATAGACCCGAATAACAGAATAGTTTGGACTTTAGAAGTCCCTAGTATACTTCTCCGAAGCAGAATTGTACGGTGCATATAAAGAAAAATTGACTTTGGCATGATCCCTAGTGTTATTTGGTGCAGGTATATTAACATTTCTCACAAGACTTTCGTAACTGCAAAAAATAAACTCAAAAGCAGAATCGCCCCTAGGTGACTCGTTGACATGTTGGACAAAATCATGTGTGGTGGCGTAATCTACAAACAGCTTCATAGAGCCTGTCTGCGCTGACCTTTTCGAAGCAGAGGAATTGGTATGAGGAAGACTGAAATCTCCTAATAAACTGCAGCGTCATTGAACGCCGAGAAAAACCACTCAGCGCTTTTGTGAGATTGATGTAATTGATCGCGCTACAGTTTGGCACTCTGTAGATCAAAATCAAGCGTATAGATTGACTCGATATTAAAAGACCGCACACGAGGATTTCATGAGAGTCAATTATCGTTCACTAGAACCAACATGTACAGGCAAAGTTTTTCTTACCAAATTGGTAACTCCACCCTACGGCGCGTCAAACTACATCCGTAACCACAGTGGGCAGAAGAGACAATACCAGGAAGGTAAGCCCAGTCAGTTCTAGATTTTAGCCATTGCGGTCAAAAATATAACATCAAGAAACTCTCTACAAACTTTCAAAACTAGACCGTCCGCATTTCTGACCAAAGAACGTATTGTACATTAGATCACAAACGAGTCGTAAAAGTACAAGGATGCGTAATTAGTTTACCGCAACACCCGCAGAAGCGGAGGACATAACAAGAAAATTATCAGTTTGTGACAATGATCAGTAGGAGAAACATTAGACAATAATGTTCCTTAAAGAGAGCCAATTCGTCGAGAGAAGCCCAAAAGGCCCAAAAAGCCCGAAAATGCCAAAAAAGCCCAAAAAGCCCAAAAAGGTGGAAAAGCCCGAAAGAGCTAAAAGAGCCGGAACGCAAAATCGAACTTTAGGTAGAATTCCGACATTAGTTTATGTAAAGACGACAGGAAAATGAAGCAAAAGACTTGAATACGAAATCAACACATATGCCTTGGCGTCAAAACGGAAGGAGAGTTTCGGCTCTTTCGGGCTTTTTCGGGCTTATTTGGGCTTTTTCGGCGAAATATGACGGGTCCCTTTGGATTCGTATGTGCATTAAAATTAGACCAGAGTTCCTCTCTGATACGGTCTCTAACTTCCCTCGGTAAAAAAGAACGGATATATATCCCTTTATCAGTGAAAAATCTCACTCGAGGGGTTCGGAAAACCATTAGCTCTTTTGGATGACACTAGCAGGCAAAACTACTTTCAAAAGAGAGGCTTCTGTGGATATTTTCTCCTCATGCGATAGGAGGGAGACATTCAACATTTAAGAACTATAGAAGGTAGCGTACAGTTGCAGTCATAGGACGCTTTCTGAGAAAGAAAAAGGAGAATTGGACTTGGAAACGCCAGCAACGGACGATTGAGCGCTTCATCTCACTCTCAGATAATCAGCGGGGGCAGGCGGTCTGCAAACTCGCGCTTTTCTGCAGGCGGTCAGCAGAAATTTGGGGCGTGGCCAAACCTTCAACGGGAGGCACTTCCTTTACGATCGCATATTCTGCCAGCGGGCAGTAATACAGCATTTTTTGCAAGCGCTCGGCAAATAATTTCTTTCAGCAAGCGCTGGCCAAACTTTCAGCAAGCGCTCGGAATTTTTTTACGCATTTTCGGGTGTACGTCGAGCACAGGTAAAACACTGTGTGGCAGAGGTGTCACCTTTAGTTTAATTACTCAAGTTTGAGGTACTTTCTTCCAGCGGAAAGTACCTGGGGGCTGCGCGGTCCTCCACAAAGGACCGTGCGGCCCTCGAAAATTTTGCATATTCTCGCGAGTCCGCGAGAATGCAGCCACTGGGCCGCAACTAATCTATAAAGAAACCGCGATTGTTCTCCAAGCATTCGTCTAAAATTTCGCAAAAAAATTGTTCCAAATTTCTGCAAGCGGACCGCAAGAAATCAGCGAACTATTTTTCCGGTGCGCGCTTGCTCAAAATTCGCATGGTCGCCTACCCGCAGCGATTATCTGAGCTATCTTTGAGAGAATAAATCGTTTTCAACTTACGTTTCTCTTCCTTGAAATCCAAGTTTTCCCTAACGATTCGCTCATTTTTTGAGTGAGATCAGCGATCTTTCTTTTCCTCTCCAGTGATATGTCGCCCATCAGTTTCAAGTAGCTAAGAATAGCTTCTTTGGCAAATATGCTCGTAAGCGCTCAGTAGGATCTGGTAATGGAGAATAAGCTTCAAAACGGCTCCTTTTAGCAGGCACAGAGGAGGATGGGAATGGGGGCGACATGGAGATCATCGATGAATATGTCATCGATTGAACGGGGTACGCGCTCGACTAGACAGCGCGGTATACTGAAATAAAGGTTCGAGGGTAGGAGAATTGCCTAGAAAACAGGGCCCCGATAAATATTACGAGGGAGCTGCAGACACGGGAAATGTAGAATAAAAGCAGTAAGTAAATGTGGCCGCAAGAAACCCCGACAACGGCAGAGGGAGGCAAAACCGACCGCTCGGCGCAGGTGCGCTTGGAATGTGATGGGTGTTGCTTCATGTAAATGCAACACAAAAGAGTACTCTACAGTTGTAGAATGGGATGAATTACAACAAACTCACTCTTTTACAGTAAAAGTAACACAGAGAAATGAATCAAATAAGCACAATAAGATGAGCGTATTTAGGATGCCGCTTCTGTAACTCCATAACAAAAATGTTGTAGCAAGATGTAATTATATAAAGTGCTTCTGAGTTTGCAATTATCAAGTTCTGCAAATAATCAAAATTCCGACTGCGCTAGGAAGAACAACCGTCTCTTCTTTATCCAGTTCGCTTTATGCAAGGTCATGTACGTCCTGGTTTGTAAGCTCGTGATTGAGCAATAATACACTTGGAAGAGCTCCAAACTCCAAAAAGTACTTCAAATCAACAACTAAAAGGATCAGCGTTCATTTGGCTAAAACAAGCTACCTTCCCCATTTTACAGTAATTTTGAACACCTCCCTTAATATCGATTTTTGCATGTGGATTTTTGAGTTCCATAATCTCTAACGGCTATGGCCTTTTTTCACCTTAGAGTGTGCAGAAAAGCAATAATCAACGCTTGAAGGTCTTTAAGAGAGACAGATACAATACAAAAGCAATGTTCTATAGGAGAGGATTATCAAATGTCAATGTAATCAATGCTGATACTAGGCCCGCCTCGTAGCTAACAGAAAACGACGCTCTTTAGCGGTCTACTCTTCCTCATAGGTGAGAGGTACTGCAGTATGAATGTCTTTAGCAGACATAAAGAAAAACTTCTTTTTTCTTTTTGTTATTCCATATTTTTGCCAGATTCGTTCTTGAGCTAAATCATAATATTCTCATGTCTTTGAAACAAGTACCCCACCAAATGATGCATAAGAGACTCTCGGGTCAGAGGTTGATAGGCCTCGGACAGAACTCACGCGATTTGATCGTCGCGATTTAATCGCCGCGATTTTCGTTCATTTTCATTTTACATTCAAACATTTCGAGCTGGAAAAGTATCGCAACCGAAACGCAAGGTAATCGGCATGCAATGAACTCGTAACAGTTGTCTTGTAGCGATTGAATCGCGATGATCAAATCGCATGTCTGTCCGAGGCCATAGGATGTCATAGAATGCTTCTTTGACGCAATAGCATAATCCCCAAACTTTCCTTAAAATGTGGGCCTGGAAAAATTTCACTCGCTTAACAAGAAATGAAAAACCTATTGATTACACAGACAAGCTTTTGTAAGAGAGAGCAGGGTAAGTAATGGGATCTCTCAGATCTTTTCAAATTTCTAGCTATTGCGTAGGCTTTGTGTTTATTCTCCCAGGCTCTCTTCTCGCCCTTTGCTTACAGATCGGTGGCACGATAACTCGACGAGCAGGGCATAAAGACCAGAGGCGGAACGGTACGGCAGTATGGTGAATGGACGTCTGGCGACTTTGTGTCGCCAGACCCGTCTCTCGTGCTTCGTTCAGGATCCTCACTTCCAGTTGATCTCGATTGTGTTCTCATTGATATTAATGTGTTGTCGTTCCGTTCTTGCCCATAAATGTATATCTTATTGATGTGTTCTGTGCTGCAGCTGAGGCTAGTAATTGGTGGGGGCAAGTTATAAGGCCCGATCAGAGAGAGGCTGATCGTGGTTCCTTTAGTGGTAGCAGCGAGTGCGGGCTTCAGAAGCCCGCGTTTTCACCGACCTTCCTCTCAGTAGGGTGAACCTCTCAGGAATAGCCTGAGGGATGACCGGTGAGCCTCAACCGGGGAGAAAGGCTTTACCTAGGTAAGTTTTTAGGCTTGGACTGATCACCCAAGATTACCTATGATTTTTCCTTGTAAATCCTTCTCTTTTTTGTTTTTGTGGTTTGGTGTCACGTCGGTGAAATAAGGATTAGGAACGACGGTGGGTACCCAGTAAGTTCATCCTCGTCGCCGTAAGGGACCAGGAGAAATAAACCGGTTTTACTTTTGCGCAGTTAGCACGAGACGTATTCTGTCTACTGTCCTGTATATTCTGTTCGAGTGAATTCAGCTCGCTACGCAGCCGAATTTCAAATTTCCTTCACCATGCTCCTCGCTGAACAAAGAACCGATACGGTTCTACTGCGAGCATGCGCGCATTCAAAGCATCAAAAGCTTCCGGGCAGAGCTCTTTGTCTTCACACGCGTGATTCCTTGAAAGGCGTATCGACTGCAGTTTGAATTTTAAGCCTTGCGCAACTTTTGTACCTATTCCTCGCAATTGCAATTTGAATTGAAATGTTGCCTTGCATGAACGTTTCGCGTAATCATACTGTAGCCGCGCAGTAGCATTCTCAAGCGATAGCATCTAGAAAACATCGCTGTTTCCGCTTTCCCATGCTTCTGCTAAATGCCATCAGATAACCCGAGCTTCTCAAAATATCACAACCTTTCACATACTGATCATTTACTAAGATAAGTGTTCCACTTATATATATGCCGTGATGCCGACATTTCACTATTCATTTTCGTTGTGTTCAGAACGTAGCGAGGGTATCTCCTCTCCTACATTCGCCTCATACAGCATTCCTCTTACACGGTCTCAGTGTCATAACCGAGTTACATCGTTATCCACGCAACTTTCGGAGTCCTCTGATCCTCCTCCAAGTCTAGTAAGCGAACGTTCAGACTCGGCAGTCTCTAGGGAAATGTCCTCCCCCTCAGGGGAATCATCTCCTAATTCTTTCAGCGGCCTGGCCTTCGGGCAGCTCGCGCCCAAAACAATAAACTTATTCTCCGGTTCTAATAACCAAGAATTCGCAGCTTGGCTAAGGAGATTCGAGGACACTATCCGCATGACCAATCCTCCTATTCCAGAGCAATTGAAGACCAACACTCTAGTGGCCTTTCTTGATGGCGAAGCCCGCGATTTAGTGGAGGACATGCCAGATACGGACAAGAACTCCTACGATAAAATAGTAAGTCGTTTCAAAGAGCATTTTGAGTCCATCAGTTTTCGAAGTTTTGCTCGGCAGCAACTTTCCGAATGTAAGCAAGGGCAAACAGAAACCGTTAGGGATTTTGCAGAAAGGGTTAAAAAGCTGGTGAAAATAGTAACCCAGGGGCAACCTAAGAATATCCAGAATGAGAGACTACTGGATGAATTCGTAGATAGACTGAAACCAGCCCTCAAGTTCCGACCAACAAATCCAACCACTTTTGATGGCGCAGTATTTACAGCATTAACATATGAATCACTCTTAAATGATTACGCAAACTCCTTGACTATCTTTCCAACGAACCCGCCACCAGCTCCAGCGGTCAATTTGCTCACCGCAAGTCGAAACTCTGCTAGAGATTATCAACCAACCTTCCGCGGTAATGACATGCGAAATCCGCCGCGCCCTGCGTATAAGTATCCTTCACGAAATTGGAAGCGCAACATAAACTCTAATATCAAATGTTATCGTTGCGGCCAAATGGGCCATATGCAAGCATCCTGTCAGCTAGCGCGACCACGTAGCAACCCGAATCCGCAATTTTGGCGCCGCAGAAACCAGACTTTCATTCCTCTGGCCAACATTAACATCCCTAACCGCCGCTATGTAGACAATAGCTTCCGCTATACCAATACTTGGCAGAACACTGCTTTTGCATTGCAGCCTGAACCGGACATAGCAGCGTCTACACTAGGTCCGCCGTCCGACCAATACTCAGATCCCAAGGATGCACACATCGCAGCCCTAATCAAACGGAATAACGAGCTTGCAGACCTAGCGTTTAGAACCCAACAGCTGCAAGTTGACGAATCACCCCCCAGCACATATCAAGCTCCAATGACAGCTCCTCCAAAAGCGCTATTCACGTGTGCACTAGTGCTAACTTTATTAACGCAAGTAGCCTTAGGACACTTACCACCAGCTTACCTATGTTCAAATAAGTCCCCATCCAATTACTGGAAGTTACCATCTGAGCTCGACTGCGCGAGTATAATCCCAAATTGGACTGCTCCCGTAAGGCCCTTAAAGCTGAAAGTGTATAGACCAAACACGATACGGTACCAGAGTACAGCCGACGTTTGTCGTATTATTACGCAAACTGTAACATACTCAGTCAACTTCTTTGGGGCTCGCTTCCAACACTCCCAAACCAAGGAGCATACCGTATCCCCCGGCGCATGTAAACATATGGTGCGTCAAAAATCGTGCGCTCACGGCGAACTTTCAGCGGTTGGTAAAGTTTGGAAGACTAATAATAAAGTAGAAATTGATTGGCCAAGCGCACCCTTCCACTGTTGTTCAGAACATATCCTAGTAGTTTCTAATTGTATAACATTCCAGGCAAGCGTCTACGCATACCATGGATCCACAGCCATCGAAAGCACAGTTGGCCCACTGGAGGGATGCTCTTACGAAGACGGCACTTGCAACACGAAAGAAGGAGCAGCAATGGTGTGGACGCCCGAGGCCCAGGAGAAATGTAAGTATATTTTAGTTGCTTTGATGAAAGGCACTCTAGTAGATAAAGTATGGTTAAGTGATACTAAAGAATTTGCTCTCTCTTTTGCCTCTTCTACTCCTCAGATCCATGATTGTGAACACTTCCTCATCCCTACCGATCAGGGATATGCCGTAGAACTTTTGTCCCCCAGCTTCGTCCAAAACGCTCAATACAATCCCCTATTTTGCAACGTGTGGGATTGACCACAACTAATCAGCTCGCCGCTCAATTACTGGCCGTAGAAGACAATATGCAGAATAGCCTTAGCACATCGTTACATTACTCTATCATGAATTTATGCAAATCCATCAACTCTATGACCTCCTCACTGATCGCTGCTGTATCTGCAAATCCAACCCTTGCAATGCGTAATGTTCTTCACCGCTCTGACATACAAGCATTCTTGGGCAATTATATCGTCCGCACCAAATCTTGCATCACAATATCAAATTCTTCTTATAGTTTGATCCGCTTCAATTCTTCTTGTTTCTCCCTCCCTCTCGTTGAAATTGCTCTTCCGGATAAGTCACATTGGAGCACCTTTATCGATCCTACGATAAGTATCCTAACAAAAACAGCCACTAAAATTCCTTGCGAACCCTCCATTTCATTTGAGTTCCCCACAAATTACGCAATTATTAAATTTTTGCCGTTAACGGCAACTTATCAGCGCATCTCACCATCGGAAGTAGTTAATCTGCAGTACACCGCAAACTCTCCACAGAAAGATATTCGCCCAGCGCTTACACTCTTTCACAATCTTGTCATCACAAACATCACTGAATTCTTGCCAGATCAGCAATTTACCGAACTATGGTCGGCATTTGAGAACTCTCACACCACTCTCAACGAGCATCTGCAGATACACTCCGGTTCCTCCTCACATTCCTCATTCTCGCTTCCCAAAACAGATGAAATCAATCTTAGCTTAGGGTCCATTTTTGCCACGTATATTTATCAGCCCTGGATCGCCATATGCTGCACCATAGTCACTATTAAACTCCTAGGACGCCTGTTACTCATCTATCTTAAGACCCCCAAATACCCTTACCATTCAATATATACAACCATAGCAGCACACCCGTAGCGTCACAGCAAAATAGAGCGGAGGGCCCGCATCCTCAAACAGATCTATATCCACTTCAAAATTTCCCAAAGGTCTACAATGTAGCAGGTGCAAACGACACCATCTCCGCACACATTAGAATAAAGGTTAACGACATAAGCGTAGCCGCTCTTATTGACACGGGATCCAGCATAACCCTTGCAGCAAAAGACCTCTGTCCAGCGCTAGGCACTTATCAGCTTGACCCCCAGTATCTTCTTCTGCTATCGGAATGGCCGGAAATCACGTACTAATTTCAGGGTGTAAGCTCGTTAAATTTCAAATACAAAAGCACATTCTGCATGCAGTAATACATTTTACCAAAGGCCCCTGCGTGCCATCCCTCTACTCCTCTTACGAACTTATCCTGGGTAACGATATTCTTTCACAATTCCCCACGCTAACCATAGATTACAAAAATCAAAAAGTTTCGTTCGGGACCTCATCCATCCCCCTAACACAACCCCTGAGGCCACCACAAGAAGCAACTTATTGTGTTCGCGTCAGTGACACCATCATAATCCCACCCAATACCGAGAAGTTGATTCCATGTCAAGTGCAAAATGCCTCCTCACGCCAAGACCTAGTGCTAGTATCTCAGACCGCAAGCATTACAAAAAGGGACCTCGTTGTAGCTCCCGCACTAATCAATGCTCAATCACCATTCATTTTGGTTTCTAACCCTTCCAATCAGCCTATTACCCTTTATGGTGGCATGAGTTTAGCAAAGGCACTGCCTGTTGCCCACGAAGGGTCAACCTTCAGTGAACATTCTTTTCAGGGTAACCCCTTGAGCCCCCTATCATGCGTCAGTGAAGCCCCTACTGACCAAAACAATTACGTCACAGATTTGAGTAATTGCGACATAAATGAACACGAACGCACACAACTACGGCAACTGCTTTGTAAGTATGACGATGTTTTCTCCAAACATCAGTATGATATTGGTAGTTGTACGGCCGGAAAGGTCCATATCTACACAAACAACGATCCTCCTGCCAAAATCCGACCCTACAGGGTCCCAGCAAAATACCGGGAAGAGTTGCAAAAGCATATCAATATGCTGCTTAAGGTAGGCGTAATGAAGGAATCAAATACCCCATGGGTACACAACTTAGTCGTAGTGCGCAAAAAGGATAACTCCCTTAGAGTATGCCTGGATATGCGTCGCCCCATAAACGCGGTCACCTAAAACTATCTCAGACCCCTACCCGGTCCCCCGCATCGACGATGTCTTAGAGAAAATAGGCGGACACCGCTACTACACCACGTTAGATTTAGACAGCGGATATCTTCAGCTTCCCTTAGGCGAAGAGAGTAGCTTCAAGTGCGGCGTAATAACAGAGAATAAAGTATACCAAATGACACATCTGCCCTTCGGTCTTAAATCTGCCGGCAGCTATTTCGCACGCATAATGGCTAAGGTATTGGGAGGCCTACATGACAGTGTCCTTACTTACATAGATGACATTCTCATCTATAGTGATGATTTCCCCTCTCATCTGGAAGCCATTGAAAGAGTTCTTTTACGCTTTCAAGAATTCAATTTGAAGGCGTCACCTAAAATGTGTATTCGCTCGAAACCAGATAACCTTCTTGGGTCACGAAATTACAAAAACCAGTTATTCCCCCGCGCAAATCAACACAAAAGCCGTCCGGGAGTTCCCCGTTCCTAGAAACGTGAAGGAAGTTAAACGCTTCCTAGGCATGGTAGGATTTTTTAGGAAATTTATCCCTAGCTTTGCAAACATAGCCGAGCCCTTAACACGGCTAACACGTAAAGATACCAAATTCCAATGGACCGATGAGCAGCAATCGGCTTTTATAGAGCTAAGAGATACCTTGCTGCGAAAGCCTATTTTAGGTTACCCCGATTACAACCAACCGTTTCACATATTCACCGACGCCAGAGCGGTAGCCCAAGCCGCCGCACTTATGCAAGAGACCGTAACCGGTAGTGGTAAATTTTACGCTATTGCATATTGCAGCAGGACGCTATCTAGCACCGAAAGACGCTGGCCAGCAGTCCAAATTGAGCTGGGTGCCATAATTTATGCGCTAAGGCAGTTCAAACCCTATATATGCATGACAAGGATCATACTGCATTGCGACCACAAACCCTTATCGTTCTTGCTTAGCAAAAACAAAACGCACGATAACCTCGCCAGATGGATGATCGAATTGCAAAGCTACGATATAAAGTTGGTACACATAAAAGGTGAAAAGAATACAGTAGCAGATGCCTTGTCGCGAGTCTTCGAGGACAAAGGTGACACCTCCACTTCCTGCGACGAACTTAAAGACGTAGACTTCCCCCTAAGCCTCTACGTGTCGCCAACGCAATCCACCGAGAACACCAGGACAGCACCCTTGCCGAAACTCACATACATCCGTGGCATGGAAACTTCCATAGATATGGCCCAAGAGCAAAGGAGCGACGCTTTAATGCACAACATATACCAAGTCAAAACCAGTACCCCTTTGCCGAACGCACTGACCGAAGACGAAAAGTCTTATCTGTTTGAAATATCAAGCAGAGTGCTCCTTAAAGAAGATGGTTGTCTCTATTACAAACTCCAAAGTAAAAATCGTTTCAAGGAACTTATGCTTATTCCGGATACACTTAAAAACCTTGTATTCGACGCATATCATTCCAGTAAACTTTCAGGAGGACACATGTCATGGAGAAAAATCTCTCGAAGATTATGCGCAAGTACTACTAGCCATCGATCTACGCAGACATCCGCGAATGGTGCGCTCAATGTATGATGCCAGCTCCGCAGACAAGGTACGTCAACATCCAAAGAATACCTTGTACCAGTTCATAGCGAATCAGTTTTCGCCAAAGTAGGCTTAGATCTATGTGGTCCCCTCCCAACAACTGAGCGCGGTAACAAGTATATTCTGAACATAGTCTGCTGGTTCACTAGATACATTGTTTCTGTTCCACTCTGCGACGCTAAAGCACCCACCATAACGCACGCTCTCCTGACAGTGCGTACTTAAATATGGCGCGATGGCAGAGCTCACGTCAGATCAGGCTTCAAGCTTTACTTCGCAATTTTACCAAGAATTCTGCAGCCTTTTAGGAATCCACCATAGGTTCGCCACCCCCTACCATTCCATGGGAAACGGCGCCACAGAACGAACATTTCGTACCTTCCACAACATGCTTTCCAAATTTGTGAATGCCAAGCACGAGGATTGGGATCTATTCCTGCCGTTCGTTACTTTTTGTTATAATACTACAGTAAGCGACGCCACCAACGAATCGCCATACTTCCTCATGTTTGGCAGGGATCCAATCTTTGCTGTAGACCGCATACTTAACCCCAGCACCCCTCAACCCATTCCTGCTGCAAACGAAGCATCTGAGTACAAAGCGCAGTTAGTATCAGCCTTGCAAACGGCATGGTTTAACGCCGCTCAAAATGCCCGCGCCTATAAGCAACGTATGAAAGAGCAGTACGACAAAACAGCAAACCCATCTCAAATCCGTCAAGGCGATCGCGTGCTTTTCAAGAATTTTTCTAACAAGCAAGGCCTAGCTCGTAAGTTATGCCTTCCGTGGATAGGGCAATTCCGGGTACTCAAAGTAGAACACCCCCATGCAATAATAATCAGTATCACTGCACCTACATCTAAGCCTCGTACAGTACACTTGAATCAAATAAAGAAAATTATAGATTGTACAGGACCTGCAGCGACACAACCAACTCTTCCAGAGGAAGAACGGTTCTTAACCCAATTTCCAGAACATCATCTCGCCGGATGCGACTACCCAGAACCAACCATTCAATCTGAACAGTCCTCAGAAATTCCACAGCCATCACATAATTACAATCTCCGATCCAAATCCAAACATTCCTGATTCCTCTCTTTTTTAAGCTGTTTTTTGGTGTTCATCCCTCCCTTTTGATTCGCTCGTATTCGTAATTCCTCGCTGTAATCGCGTCGTCTCTTGTTCGCATATATCGTACACTCATTGCCTGCTGATATTGCTCATTGCAGGAGTGCCCACGAGCGAAAACAGTATTCCAGCGATCCTAACATGAGCGTCGCCTCCAAGGAGGGACCCTCAGTCAAACACTCGGTTTCTGAACCATCTAATCTCGGTAACCATAAATCTCTTTAAAAGGCCGATCAAGCAACGCTGTTGTAATCACCTTGTCATTTCATTTCAGCCTTGTATGGTTCTACAACCCCGGCCAACATCTCCGGACGAGACGAACTACACCAGCAGCGAACGAGCTCCCAGCCGACTGTGCTCCACGTGCTGACTCCAATGGATACACAACCGCAGGTTTCCCGTTCATTTGTTCACGCGAGTCACGGTCAGCCGAGAATTCCTCGTAATGAGAATGACTCCTCAGCTTCATGAGCCAATGCAGACAACGTCCGCTTTGGCTCAGCCAATTGCCTCCACCGAGGAATCGGCTAAATCATACAAAAGCAAAAAGACTAAGGTCATAAGATCTCGCAGTTATTCACGATCGCCGTCAAGCTCTGACGATGATTACCCTGCGAAAAAATCAAAACTAAGCGAACCTGTTCCAGATTCTTTGATTACATTGGTGCAAAAGGCGTCCATTCATCCACCTGCACCAGGGGAAGCCTCATCCGGACAGCCCTCTACATCTAAGACGTATGCGCCTCCGCAGAGGGAGCGTACGCATAAGCCCCCAAGGCCCAGTAGGGAAACCGAAGTGTTTTACTCCCACCCATGGTCATCTCACCTCCGGGAGAAATTCACACCCATTGTCTCCCCATACTACGATTCCAACTTACCCGAGAGCAACTTTGAAAGAATTCCAATTTCAGGATACAGCGGTTTAGTTGATGGACTTTTTCCGGAACCCTCCGAAGCGGTTCCACGATGCGGAAAGTCCGTCTGCATCCTAGAAGCAGTAGGTCCTACAGCCATCGAAGATTTCAGGGACAGACATAACGCCGAGGAGATGATCACCATGCGCAGTAACAACATACCTCTTCCGATTATACCGAACGCGCAGCGTGCAACATCGGAGGAGGCCATTGAAGCCGTGCATGGCCTAGTCCTTGACAATAAGATAGCGCCAGTTCTTTACCGTGTATCTGCCTTTTACAGTAGCGGAGTCAAGTTGTCGTTCGTGCACATAGAAGTCACCTTCCCGGATAGACTCGACCTCCACACGGTCCAGCTCGATACAGTGAGAGTTAATATTAAGGCCCGTATGCACGTACATCCCCGCGGGGAGGGGAAGGGATCTGAGAGGGGAAGCGCCATATCTCGCTGCTTCAGATATCTTTCTTCCTTCTTCACTATCTTGCTTACAAAGGTTCTCATACCCTTATACCTGCGCATTATTGATGCCAGGTTACTGCTGTACAAGATTAAATATTCACTATTTCTTCCGATCCCCTGGGGATCCCCAGGGGATCACCTCACATTTTCAAAGTCATTTTTCTTCCTGAAAAATCAATGAAAACGCTGCAAAATTGAACTGAAGATATACTACGATACTGCTGAGCATGTTTTCGACAGAAGAAATGGGATCTGAAGATTTTGATTTTTTCGATAATCCCTGGCTCGCGAGCAGCGGTTCATCGAAGATTTTGATATCTTGAGATTTCACTCATCGCTACCATAAACATGTTTAGCAGTGCTGTCGTATATCCTCAGTACAATTTTGGAGCATTTTCATCGAGTTTTCAGGAAGATAAATAACTTTGAAAATGTGAAGTGATCCCCTGGGGATCCCCAGGGGATCAGACGAAATAGCGAATATCTAATGTTGTATGGCAGTAACCTGGCATCCGTAATGCGCAAGTATCAGTGTATGAGAACCTTCAAAAGCAAGACGGAGAAAGAAGAAGAAAGATACATAGACTAGCGAGATATGACGCTTCCCCTCTCAGATCCCCTCCCCTCCCCGCGGGGATGTACGTGCATACGGGCCTAAAACAGGTAAGCGAGGCATTGATATCACCAAAATGATCATCGGTGACCTGGTTTGGGTATATGCCCTAGCTCTTACGGTCAAGTTCGCCACAACAAAAATGCCCTTGCCTTGTACGGTAGAGGAAGCAATCCATGTGAGGCAACCGAACGTCTGGCGCGTAGCACGTTTTGCGCTCATTAACCGCGAGCTCACTCCAACACTGGGATTCGTCGCGTCTATCATATCAAGACAAAATGGCATATTTCGCATATACATGCAAGGACACCGCCAATTAGTTATTGTAAACCGGAACAGATTGCAAAACCCGAATGACTCCCACAAAATCCGCGCAAACTCCTTTATAACCGCGCCGTTTCGCCCCAGACAGCTCGATTACATGGTGTTCGCATGTAAACCAACCGATGGCGCAAGAGAACTAACATCCTACATGGCCGGGATTCAGTATTTCCCCAGCCCACCTCCAACGCCATTCGACATCAGAATCACCTCTTCGGAACATCAGCGGCAAGTACAGAATAAATTGCGGGACTTCACTATGTTTGATAAACGCCCGACCGAGGTCATCAACTTTTTAGAGCCATTATACAGCACAGCCTGTGGTACGATAGCGGCCGTTGTGGCCGATAGCACCAATACGGTAGTCCACTCAGCAGTTTGGGCCTCTCCTGACCTTAACCGCTACCCAGTAGAGGTGCAATTCACTATTCCGGTCGGTAAAAAAACCGGTTGGGCAGTCGGGCATCCTATCCAAGGTGCCTACGAGGCCGACATTTTGAAAGGGAAAATTATAAGCGTTGTCAAAGAAGGCGAAAATCTCCATATTAGCGCTAGGCTAGATACCGCTGGCGGTGTGAGATGTAGAATGTATTTCCTTAATTCACCTTCAGGACGCATAGCAGTGGCGACATCTCTCTCTAGTACTGCATCCAGTACCAACCCGGTACTGGCTATGATGGAGCATTCGCTCCTCTCCAAACTGTTTATGTCGGATAGCCTCGGATGGACGTCAGCCCGCGCGCTCCTTTCGGCTGACATAGTCCTCAATAGTCAGGGCGACTATGAATATGAGTCTTACTCGACAGATATAGCCGGATCGCACATTACATTAAATGAGGATCAACTCGGCGCTCTAAACCTTTTCAAATGCCAATACCCAATAGCCGCGGTCGACAGCGCATATGGCGCAGGAAAAACCTTGTGCACAGCAGTCATGGCTAAGGATGCAGTCAAGGACGGTCAGAAAATCCTAGTCACTGCGGTACAAAATAGTGCATTAGACGTTATCGGCGCGAAAATTCAACAACTTGCGGACGCAAACATACGCGCGGTTCGATATGTTAGCGAAACCCTGGCTAGTGACACACTGACCACCTCCCCGTTCGCCATCCAAACACTCATGGAAAACTTCCACGTCACCCACAGGGATCTTCTGTCTGACGACGCCCTATGCCGCAAATTCGAGAACTTCTCCAAGGCCAGACAGCAGTTACGCGAGTTTGTATTTTCCGGAACAGACCGATTTGTTGTTACTAGTGAACATAAACGCCTTCTGTTCTTGGAAGAACGGACTTCTACAAATATTCAGGTATTAATCAGTCAATTTTTGCGTTTGTAAAAACCAAATGTGTTCTTATGCACCGTATCATCCGCACTGAACCTCACACTCAAGCAAGGAACCTGGCGCAGGATAGGGAACTCGTGGTCATCCATTCTCATAAACGAAGCGTCTATGGTTCCAGAAGCTGCTCTCATGGCCCTCATGTCACGATTCCAGCATGCGCGCTTCACTCTTATAGGAGATAGCAAACAGCTGCCGCCATACATCGGCACGCAAACGGTACCCCTTGCAGTGGACGTCAGCATGCGCTCGGTCCTCGACCTAGTCACCAGTAAACAAGGCATGCCTTCGTGTACCATTCGCACCGTCTACCGCCCCCACGTCGAAATGATGCACCTCAACTCAGAAATTTTCTATGGTAACACCTTAGTATGTGGGACCCCGCCCGAGCAGCGCCAGCTTTTACTTGCGCACACCCGCATGCCCAACGCCAAAATACCCGTTGCATTCGTAAATGTACCATCGCAGTCCGAGCAATCACTTACAGGATCTCACAGCAACATCATAGAAGCCAATGCCGCACATGTCATCGCACGCATGCTCATTACTAACGGTATAGCACCAAGGGATATACTTGTCATATGCCTTTACAGGGACCAAATATTCCTGTGCGATAACATTTTCCAGGGATCCGGAATCACGGTGGGCACGGTGGACAGCGCCCAAGGAGCCGAAAAACCTATCGTCATCCTCTGCACCACACGCACGCACATAGAGCCATCAGCCAAGCCCACGTTCTTTTCCGACCCAAAGCGGCTCAACGTGGCCCTTTCGCGCGCTCGAGACGGTATGTTTATCCTAGGAGCCTTAATCTTTTTGCAGAACGCCCCGACATGGACTGAAGTCATTCGATGGTGCACCCACAAGAACCTTATCACCGACTTGCACTTCTTCGATCCCGCAACGCTACATCCACTACGTCCCTAAGTCCGAGGACGGACTTGCGTAAAGGGGGGAGATGTAAGAGAGAGCAGGGTAAGTAATGGGATCTCTCAAATCTTTTCAAATTTCTAGCTATTGCGTAGGCTTTGTGTTTATTCTCCCAGGCTCTCTTCTCGCCCTTTGCTTACAGATCGGTGGCACGATAACTCGACGAGCAGGGCATAAAGACCAGAGGCGGAACGGTACGGCAGTATGGTGAATGGACGTCTGACGACGTGTCGTCTTTGGGTCGCCAGACCCGTCTCTCGTGCTTCGTTCAGGATCCTCACTTCCAGTTGATCTCGATTGTGTTCTCATTGATATTGATGTGTTGTCGTTCCGTTCTTGCCCATAAATGTATATCTTATTGATGTGTTCTGTGCTGCAGCTGAGGCTAGTAATTGGTGGGGGCAAGTTATAAGGCCCGATCAGAGAGAGGCTGATCGTGGTTCCTTTAGTCTTTTGATTCCTCGAGAGCAACAGGTGAAATCTTTTCCAGTAATTACAATTTTATGCATGATTCTTGAGAAAATAATGCCTCAAAAATCTGAAACCGTCACTTTCTTCAACTTCGATGGAATCATCTGATTGTTACATATTGGAAAAAGAAACTTGCGCGTTCCGGCTGATTGCATATGACACGATATAAGCAAATACCTAGAAAGTGATTTTTCGGATTTGTGGCTAAAACTGCTGAAACGACTACTGAATTACATTTTTTGGTCTTGGTTTCATAACCTACTCCTTTTTACTAACGAGGGAAGCTACCCAACTTAGCTCGCGCTTTTGGAGTAAGACACATATATTTGGAATCAGCTTCGAACGCTGATGCCAAGTATGCCGTTCCCAGCTGCCGCGCATCGTTCGCAACAGAGTTATGTGGCCTCCTCCCCTATGACTCGCTACACCGGCTAGTCTAGATTAAACACGACAATGTCTACAAGAGGTCGTGTGGTGAAATGGTGTCTCGCTTCATAAACTGATGGTCCGGGTTTCGATTCCTATTGCGTGTTTTTCGTTTTGCAAAGGTAGTCCAGAGACCCAAACATGGTTCACAAGTGTTCGGTTATGTTTACGTGCATCTGATGAATGGGGTTATCACAAATCGAAGATGTTCTGCCCCGAGCCCGCTCAAACATTTGCAATCGAAAACGGGGCAGCATTTGAGAAATCCAAAATGTAAAGTTTCTATGGTGAAACTAGTACGCCACAGTCTGGATACACTGTTAACAAAAGTGTATTCCGAACACTGTTGAAGAGTTGCAAAACGAAAAACACGCAATAGGAATCGAAACCCGGACCATCAGTTTATGAAGCGAGACACCATTTCACCACACGACCTCTTGTAGACATTTCGTGTTTAACCTAGACTAGCCGGTGTAGCGAGTCATATGGGAGAAGGCCTCATAACTCCGTCGTGAATAATGCGCGGCAGCTGGGAATAGCATATTTGGCATCAGCGTTCGAAGCTGACAAATATATGTGTCTTATTCCAAAAAGGCGAGCTAAATTAGGTAGCTTCTCTTTTAAGAGAAGAGAGCGAGAGAAGAAGGAAGCTGGTTGTGATCAGACCTCTCTATGAACAGATATCGGCTTTTTTGATTCGACTCAAAAAGAAAGTACGTTCAGAGGCCGTGCTCTGGCATAAGATGGCATAAGATGCATATCATCTAAAGCAATTTTGAACGTTTATTGCAAATCTGCGTTCCGTTTTTGTGGAACGCTCTTCTAAAATTAGTTACGAAAGCCTGAAAATCCTAAAAGGACGATGATGTACGTTGGTAATGTAGTGGTTAGCGTGCTAGCATTACAGCCGAGAGGTCAGTGGTGCGCCAAAAGTAAAATAAAGCTTCATGACTTTGCTAAAAAAAATCTCTCTCTTGATGCCAGATATGTCAAAGATATTAATGCAAGTTTCTGCAGACGATTTCAAGTGCATATCAAACTTCCACTCAAACCGCGAAGGTCCGCTCTCCAAAGAAATCGAACCCTTGCCTTCTTGAGTCTAATGAGCGCGCTAATTACTACACTACTGCACCATAACACATGGCAGAGTCCGTATACTAATGCGTAAAGAGCACCCAAAATCAGGAATTGTCTTCCGAGACTCCTTTCAGAGAAGCGTTCCGCAGAAATGGAACGCTGTCTTGGAATCAGCGTTGAAGACTGCTTCAGACGGTATGCATCCCAAAACGGCGACGGCCTATGAATGTACAGTATGTTCCACTCAGGATTGGGCGGACTCAAAGACGTTCTGTTGCGCTACCGCAACGCTAATGCTTTGAGCTGCGTCTGCGAACGCAGCCTCTGGCGTTTTGCCAGTTGCTTCAATAGCGTCATTTCAGGCGACGGGACACTGTTTCTCATAGTTTTCGTCTGTTTTCTCATTCTGCAGGTTTTCCACTTTAGCATGTACAGTCATGTTCTTCTCCGTTATATATAGGTTTTGATGAGTTTCTCACTTGCTGGTTCTTTTCGCACACCATTGTTGCTCGAGTTATTTTCCCAGACGTTTCGTTTGTCATGATATTGTCATGTCACGAATGCTAGCGATTCTTTTCCAGATAGGATATTTGGTGCATCTTTTATGACGTCGGATGTTAAGAGAAAGTCTGTTTTGATAGGTGAAGAGGGATGGCCGCAAAAGAGGCGATTGCATTGAATACATAAAGGTAAAGAATAGTCTAATTTTTGACGGAATTCGATGTTTGCGCATATGATGCCATTCGTACAGCTCTGCAGAGCTTTCATAGAGGCTCTGCAGGGCTGCTCTTTTTGCCTGAAAGCTTTCATGGGAGTTTTGTTGTGTAGTTTTCCTCAAAACTTTTGTTCTAATGATTAGCTACTGAGACAATGAAGGGATATCAGCATTAGATTCAAAATTTTTCTTTGAAAATACAACGGTGTTTTCTGTTAATGACCCATAAAGGGCTCGACTGGTTCCAGCAATGGTCTGTGGACCACTGCTGACCTATTGATGTTTACATTGCTCATCGCACACATGACAGATCGATACTTGCCCTTACAGGTTCCTTCATACTACGCCGCGCACGCCGCGTACGCCGCTGCAGCGCAATGGAAATATGCTCACGGCAGCAGAGTCCCACTTTTTTATGTATCTCTATATTTGCTGCACATTCGTGTCCCTCAATAGCGTTCCCCTACATTATGCATCTCTTCCTCTCTTTTACTTTGTTTATCCTGTCTATCCTTTGTCTATGATTGATGGAATGACTTAGGTTGTTGTGCTCTTCTTCGTACTGTTAGGCCCCGGGCAGACTTCACGCGATTTGATCGTCGCGACTGAATCGCGACGAGACAACTGTTACAACATCATTCCGTGCCGATCGACTTGCATTTCAGTTGTGATACTTTTCCAGACCGAAATTTTTGAATGTGAAATGAAAATGAATGGAAATCTTGGCGATTAGATCGCGACGATTAAGTCGCGTGAAGTCTGACCGAGGCCTTAGACTGCAATTGCAAATTTGATGCGGCGTTGTTGCCGCAGTTTGTTTTCTTCGCTCACAAAACGTCATTCAAGTTCCGGCGCTGAGTTCACAATACACAATGTTAACGTATTTGGGGTCAAAACTGTACAGAATTAAATGATGAAGCTCGTAATAATAAGCATTCATAGAGATTCATCAAAAAAAGTGGAGCTCTGCTGCCGTGAGCATATTTCCATTGCGCTGCAGCGGCGTACGCGGCGTACGCGGCGTGCGCGGCGTAGTATGAAGGAACCCTACGATGGCGAATTGGCTGCGTAGAAATAGTAAATTCTCATCATGGCGCTTTGATGAGTATCTTTTTCATAGCGTGCAGTTTGCCTGCGAGTGCTGTGTTGCGATGGCTGCTCTGGTTCTTGTCCAATACGTTTTTGTGATGGAACAGCTAGCTAGTATTTTATCACGTGACTCCTATGTTTTTTTATTGGTTATTCCTCCCTTAGCCTTCTACAATTGATTCTTACTGCCTCCCTCCTTACTGAGGAGTTCCGGGGAGGTTCTGTTTCTATGTTTTCTCCGTCTAAGGGAAGGAACGAAACGGAGCTTTAATCTTTAGTACATGTTGTTTGTGTTATACATATATAGTATATATATACATATTGTTTTCTTTCACTCCAAAGCTGAGGTCATGATTTTGATTTGCATTTTTTGCTGCATTTGATTTTATTGTTCGTGACGTGGGCTGGAAGAATTGATGGATTGTTTTGTGTCGGCTTTTTAAATGGGAGTATTGGCAGTTTCACATTTGTTTATCGGTTTCATATCTATCTGAGTCTTCCAATTCGCCAAAATGGGATGATTGAAAGCGTAGGTCATTGCTATCATACTCTATCGCTTCGTTGCTTACATACCCAATGTTTCATCGCTCTCACACTCGCTTGCTGAATGTAAGGTCGATGAACGAGTTTCGCCGTCCTTTTCCCTATTGACTGTATGTTTTTCCCTGGCCTTGCTTTCTTTCTTCCTTGCGTCTTGGAACCAAGCTTCGGCTACGGTCTCGACACGTTCGCCAACCAACTCACCGTCCTTTACCTAAAAATGCATGCAGCATCGTTACATTGGTGATAGCTCAAGACTTGAGCCAAAATAAGAGAAAAATTTTAACATCGTACCAGGTCGATTTCGTCTACTGTCTTGCCGTGTTTACTCAGGTACGCTTTGAGTTGGCTCCAACAGAGCTCTATTGGATTGGAAAAAACAATGATAGGGTGGGAGTCTAATCAGGTTTACCCCGAATCTGTCACAGATTTGTTCCGACGCGTACCTACGAAAGGCAGAATAACCTCCTTTCGACTGCACATACTCACGAAACTGAATGGAAGATATAAATCTCTACCACGACTATAGTTTGTATTACCTCTTGCAACAATTCGGCTTTAATAGCCCTTTCTTCAATCAGTTTCTTGTGATGTCAGATAGTCCTTTATCTGCCTTTTTGTTGAAGACGTCGTAAGCAATTTTTCTAACTGCCTTGAGTGGTAAGGCGCGTTATCTATAATCAGATTAACACGTTTGCCACGTGCCTACCGTACCATATGCGGGAGGGATTCGGCCAAGCAACCTCGAAACACTCATTATCCATATCTTTATGGTAATCTCCGTCTAAGTCCCGCATGCCACGACTCTAGTGCTTTCTGGGATGATCCCATCTTTCGTTAGAGCGGAGATATCACTATTGCTCTCTGTCCTTTATTTTTACAAGCCTCCTCCCACAGTAGTATTTTTCCAGAGTGGCTCTGTGGTGCAAACTTGGGAATGGGTCTTATCATTCTAGCCTCTCTTTTTGGTCATGCCGCTAAAGACCCAGGTTTCATCCATATATACAAGATAGTCCTGTGACTCTTTTGCTGCAGCCATTTCTTGGAGGAAACTCAGTCTTTTCGCGATTAGGTCAGCCTTGTCGAAAATAAAACCTTGATTTCTATCGATCACAAATGCAACCTAGGCCTTCAACCAGTCTATATAAGGTGGCTCGTGGTAGCCTATAGTTTTCATGGGCGGAAGAAAGTTGTGCATGCATTATCGTGATATCTTCTTCGCGCCTTAGCTTCCGGTGATTAGCTTGTTTTACAGTTTCACCACATTCCGGCCCATGTTTTTTAACGTTTGCCATTATGAAGGATTTTCCACTGTATGATTTTGTTTTCCTCTTCACCACTTGGTCAGCTGTCTTGTTCATACTTTATAGAGTTCCTCTTGAGGTACCGCAGGCAAGCGTAGTGATGTCTCTGGGTGCTTTGAAGACTTGCGCAGGTGGTTTTAAGTCTCGTGTTTAGCCCTCTAAAGAACTTGTACACGTTCAACACTATCACTTTTTGCTTGATGTCCATACACTGTTCTTGATCGGCGTTCCTCTTTCCTGCTTAGCGCTAGAGCTTTGATTTCTTGCTCACAGATACGTGCGCACACTCTGCACTCACAGCTCAACGTCGACTACTGGGGCACTCTGAAACGTGGAAGAACTACTTGGTGGATTTCAAGCTCACGTTGCTCATCATGCTAGAGACTAGGCAAGTAACAGAATTTAGCATTTTCTTGCGTGACGAGCGCTTTTCATGCTGTACTACATGCTGTAACGTGGTTGCGCATGCTTGGTTTATATCAGTAAAAGTTACAAGGGTAAGGAATCACAGGTGTTCTTACACTAACGATAAGTAACCCTCAACTGGTACAGCTGTTGTGCTACGAAACATGCAATGAACTTACTATTTGCATCGAAACAACATATTAGAATACAGAAAGACTTGAGATTGGGGTTAATTGGGATGCAAAAATGCACGAAAGAGAGGGATGCTTTGGGACGGAATGCATAGCTGCACAGATGCAGACTGAGAAGAATACGGATGTACAGTGGCATACAGTAGGTAGTGTACAGTTGCAAGCAGTAGTGGTTGGCGAATATACATTCTCCTCGCCTAAATGCGTAGTAGTTCGTGATCTACATTCACGTAATGACATGAAGTTATGAACAGTGAAACTACTGCAGCGCTTAACGCGTCCGGACGATACTTGTTGTGTTTGACTTCCGTGAGCCCTAGTGCATTTTGGACAGTCTCCAACTGCTCTTCAACTATTGGAATGCATTCCGCATCCTCAAACAGGAATTATCATCAGAGTGTAAAAGTAGCTAGCAATAAAACTCACATAGAGGAGATAGTGCGTCACTGAGTCGTTAGATGCTTTTGGGTACACCGATAGAACTCGCTTCTCTCTCAATGGTTGCTCGGCTGAAGTCGTCTTTGCGCACTAAAAAGAAAAGTATCACAAACTAAAACCCTTTTTCTACAAGTTCTCATACAAGGCGCAGGTCGCGGGCCATTGTCTTTACATCGGTATAAAAACTGTCCCTACTTCTTCACAACGGAGATTTGCCGCTGTAGATTTGATGTCAAGCGTCACACTTGTTGGCATACGAAATAGTGAAGTGTGTGCAGCCTTTCGTTGAAGATAGCCGTAAAAGAAAAGATATTATCATCGCTAAAACTATTTACATAGATATTCTGCCAAAAGCAGGCAGATCTTGGTACTATGAAAATCTGATTAGGCGTAAATTTTTGGCAAATTATCTCCAAGCAGTAGAAATAGTTACTCACAGAAAATAAGAGAAAAATAACATACCTCAGCACACTGCAGCTGCGCTGCCGTTCTCTTGATTTCCGGAATATGGAAGTACTTTACTACAAAAACGGTAGTGAAGCGACATGGGAATGAAGTAAAAGGTCTTACGGAAATATGACGTAGGCGCGCTGCTGTGGCTCGTACATCAAGAACATGGGTGTTCTAATAAAAATGATAAACTCACAGGTAAACAGCCGCACTCAAATTACTGTTCGTTCTTGAAGTGAAACACGCGTTTCCCTTGCTACACTTTGTGAGAGAAAACCATGCGCTCTTGTCAAAATGCTCTTCTCTACTTTTGTCAGAAATTACTGGACCACCTGGCATTTCTTGCATCAGGTGCGCTGGGAGTTGAAAAGAATCAAAGTACAAAGATCGAATGTATACGACAATACCTACAGACATGTTATTTACAATAATAGCGGACATTTGAAAAAAAGAACGAAGAAAATTTGAGAACGCTCATTAGCATCATAAAGCATCACAGCGACCAAAATCAGAGATATTGATTGGGAGCTGGCAAAGCGCCAGACGCACTTCTGGCGCTGTGGGTTTCCGCCATGCCAATTTCTGCCTAAAAGGAAATGAATCAGACTGTATTTCAGTGTTGCTGATCTTATTCCAGATTGATTTTTCTAAAATCGTGACTTAATATAATGGGCTAGCGGTAATTTACTGTTTGTCTGTCTAAATATCTGTCTGTCACGAAATCCATAAGACGAGTTGCAGCCAAGTTTTGCGCTGGAATTTTGGTCGTGGCACCCAATCAGGTGCGCTCAAACTGTGCAAAACACAAGCCGATTTGATAATGAATACTTTGGAAATTGCGCATCAAACGGATCCATGCGACTTTTGACCTCCCAATGGATCAAAATTAGGACTTTTTGCAAAGTCGTTTATCTGCTTGACAAGTAAAACAGCAGACCACTCAACCTAAAAAGCGAGCAAAAAGTCTATGTTTACGCAAAGTTAGCGCCGAAAAGGAAGAAATACGTAGGTGTGGATTTTGTCAATGCTAGAGAAAGTGTGAAGATTTTTGCTGAGGAATGTAACTCACGGTGGCCATTGTCTTTGCGGCAATTACCAAGCCATGATAACATCTTTAACTGACTCAAACTCGCATGATCTTTTGCAAGATATGTCCTTCCCCAATAACGGCACCCAGTCAGCGTGTAGGTAAACTGTGCAAAACCACAAGCCGATCCCGTAAGTGAAACCATCGAAAACTGTGCGTCAAACGGATCCACGCGACTTTTTGCCTGCCAAAATGGGTCGGTAATTGGACTTTTTGCAAAGTCTTGGATTTGTTTAGCAAGTGAATCCAAAAAAACATTGATTTCAGCTCAAAAAATAAGCATAATGTCTATTTTTACACGAAATTGGCGCCAAAAAGATGTAACTGAGCAAATTGTCGATTTGCCAAATTTTACTATAAAAAATGAGAGGATTTTTGAATAGATATGTAGCTCAGGGTGGTCTTTATCCTAATGGCGACTATAAAGCCAAAATGAATTCAGTAACCCATTCAAAATCGCATTTGTTTTTCTGCGGGAAAATTTTTTCTCCCAAAATTACCGATCTCACATGGAAAAGCTCTAAAAATGAATGGTTGTTTACAAAACATTCGTAATGTTCAGCATCGCGCGGTGAGTTTCAAAGTCATTATTATGCGATCACGAAAAAGGCATGGATAGTAGAGCCAGTGCGAACCTCTGCGAAGCAGAGGTGACACCTTTTGCACCCACCTAATATATATGTATATATATATTAGGTGGGTGCAAAAGTTCTGTCGTTTCATTTTTAAAAATTTGTAACTTCGCCAGATTTCAATGGATTTGCTTGCTTGTAATTTTATTAGAAAGAATAGATCTTCCGCTTTCAAACTCTGTTTTATGGAGCTTCAGATTCACACTGAGTGCCGAGATAAAAATGGAAAACTAAGACCATGTAAACTTTGACCATTTTAAGTTAGGTCACCAAAAATCTGGAATGCTGCAGAAAAATCTGAAATCGTCAGTACATATGTTTTTTGGTCTACTCTTTGCAACTGTGAAGAGTTTGTGCTGTTTGAACGTCTCCGTGAGAAGTTATGAATATCGAGTTTACCATGGGAAACGCCAAAATCAATTAATTTGTGAATTTTCGAGAAAATCTAACTTCCCACTGAGACGTCCAAACAGCACAAACTCTTCACAGTTGCAAAGAGTAGACCAAAAAACATATGTACTGACGATTTCAGATTTTTCTGCACCATTCCAGATTTTTGGTGACTTAACTTAAAATGGTCAAAGTTTACATGTTATTAGTTTTCCATTTTTATCTCGGCACTCAGTGCGAAACAGAAGCTCGACAAAATAGCTCTTGAAAGCGGAAGATCTATTCTTTCTAATAAAAGTAGAAGCAAGCAAATCCGTTGAAATCTGGCGAAGTTACAAATTTTTGAAAATGAAACGACAGAACTTTTGCACCCACCTAATAAAACTCAATGTCTGTGAGGATGTTCGTTTAGTTGTTCGTTCGTTATAGAAACGCGCGCCACTGAACCGATCCGGCTGAAACTTCGCGCACGTATATTTTCGACCCCGGCGGTGGTTTAGAGCTAGCTTTCCGCGGCGATTCGCCGGGCCATTCTATCGATTTATTGATTTGTTTACTCAAGCCTAGAAAAAAGGAGGACCATCATGGCAACCGATCATTTTTACATATAAGCATGTAAGCAGGGGCGGTAAAGTCCATTTCAGTCTTAAAGTTGGTAGGGTGCGGCAATCAGTCTGATAGCGCTTTATGCGCATGTTAGAAGAAATCTAAAGGCGTAAGTTTACAAGTTCTGTTGGCTTAACTAACTTGTAGTCTCGGGTGAGACCGGGGCCACCAGCTAGTAACTTATAATAACGGGCTAAGGATGTTTACGTTTTTTGTGTGTGTGTGTCTGTCTGTCCATTACGAAATTCGAGGAGCGTATTCCAGCCAACGTCCGGAGCCCAAATTTTGCATGGAGCATGCTAGCAGCATGAAAGTCTATGCAAAAGCACGAGCGGATCCGTTGAGTGGATCCCTCAAAAATTGCGCTTCAAACGGATCCACTTGGCTTCTGGCCAGCAAAATTGTGCAACCACCACTTTTTGCGAAGTTATGGATATGATTAACAAGCTAATGTGCAAGCCGTGGACTTTAGCCCAAAAAAATGAACTGAAGTTGATTGCTTTACGAAAATGGGGTCGAAAAAAATTAGTTGCGTAAATGTTCAATTAGCCAAGATTTTACCTTATCATTTGAAAAGATTTTTGCACAGAGATGTAGCCCACGGTGATCATCGTTGTTACGGCGACTACCAAAGCATAAAAAGTCCAAAAAACGATTCGAATTTGCACTTATTCCTGCCGGAAAAGTTTCATCCACCCGAAAATACCGATCTCGCACAAAAGAGCTCTCGGAATGAGTAGTTGTTTACAAATCATTTGTGATAGCCTGCATAGCGCGGTGAGTTTCAATGTCATTATTATGCGGGAATGAGTAAGGCATACAGAAAGTAGGGCCAGTGCGAGCCTCTGCGAAGCAGAGGTGACGCACTGGCACATATATTAAACTCAAAGTTTGTTTGTAAGTTGCTAAAGATGTTTGTGTTTTATAGAAATCTTTTAACCTGTGCCCACTTTTACATTCCCTATTTCCGCTGCGTGAGTAATCAGTATTCTCACCTACCTTCCTCCCCAGCCCCATAGCTCAAACTTTGCACAAAAAAAACAATAAAATCGATAAAAGTAAGGATAATTCTAAAAACTGATGGCGTTATTCTGCTATCCGGGCCCCAAAATGTTTTTGTGACGGATCTTGCTCAAACTCGGTATATGGGGAACAAACGGGCACATCTTTTGTACGGCTGAAGGAAAACAACAGTGACGAACTTGTATTCATAGTAACGCAAAAATGTAACGAGAAAGTACCAAAATAAATAGAAGCATCGTGCCTTAATTACAAGTAAGAAAAGAAGTACGACGAGGCATGGCATCACACCGCAGTGATTGCATTGCGCGCCATCAAGGAGAGCTGACGCGCCGTGCGCGGGAGAGTGGGACGAGTATACCGGCCGGAATTCAAATGGCCGCGGCGACGCAACGCGGCTTAACGCGGCCGCCGCAAGGAAATGCGCGCCTTACGACATACACCCCAAGTAGATAAGTAGGATTTTTTCAAAGTGTTCCAATTTTTTCTTGGTTTTCGGAAAATTAGATCTTTTTGGGCTGTTCAGTAAAGTACTCTGCGTTGATACCACTGCTTCAGAAGTGCGTAAAATGAACTATGGTGTACTTAATTATCCTAACGACAAAACTATGATCGTATGCATGCACTTTTTGCAAGAGTCAAAGTGGATCACCGCGAAACATAAGCGGTGCTCTTATTTACCAATCAAGTTTAGAAAAGCATCTTTAATAGCACCACACGGCGATACTTCTAACTAATGATAAGAACGCAACTCTAGGCACTGTCGCTGACGCTGATGAAAATACGAATGTCGTGCACTGGATACAAAAGCCGTAAGCTCCACACGAGTTCGATGTTAGAATGATTTTAAAAAAATGACGATATTTCGAGTTTTTTCACAAATTTGGTTGAGACATTGAGCTCATCAGCTGTTATTGATACAAGGCAATCTGTCAGACATTTACAGCACTATAGGGATATTTTCCTAGAACTCCTCATTTTAGTTTTCTGGAGCGAGATATGGAGTAGCTAACACCATCAATTTGGTTATTCGTCTCTGGCAAAACGCGGTGGTAATACACATCTCTCAT